CCACAAAACTATGAGAAGCATTATATGAAGAAGTACTATTGGTTTTTTTTTTGTTCTCTTTTATGAACCTTAATCCAAAAGACAACAATGAGTTTACTGCTATTTATTTAATATTTGAACAATAACGCCATTTGATTTTGGATCCAATGGGATATTTATAAAAAAAAATTGAGTTATGTACAGTTTACAGATTCCCTTGTTCATTTGATGCCCAGTACCAGGCACTATTCCAACACAGGGATGTTGAGTGGATGAGAATGCGGGGATGTAGCTAGAGCCATGAAGGATATGTTGTTAGACAGTTTAAAGTATCATTAATGCCTCCCGCTTTATTTGCATATATCTACTGCTAGCAAGCAGGAGATAAATGCAAAAACATGAAGAAAAAAAAGTTAACAAAGTGATTTAGCGGGGGGATGATGACATTTCAGGCTTTAATGTCTCTTTAAATGCAAGTCTTCACAGGTGTGTGTTGTGTCTAGCAGAACATTGGCACAAAGAGTTTGGAGAAAGCAGGAGATGTGAACAATCAAGGACAACATAACTGAACTGGGAAGTGAGCTGAGCTGAGTTGGAGAATTTTTCCAAATCAGATATGTTGTCCTAGATTGTTCCCTTCACCTGCATTCTCCAAACTCTTCACCCTTTTGTGAATAACCCTGTTAGTGTACTTCAGGATTGGTTTATAATGCAGGGGTAGGACATTATGCACAAAGCAAGAGCTCTGCCTAAGGGCGCCTAATGACAAAAAATGAACTCTACTGTGCTGAGAAAGTGTTTGGCTACCAGCAGGAGTCACCCCCTAGTCTGAACATTTTGCTTTGTACCCAGTGTGCTACTTTGCAGCTGGCAGTATAACCCAATCACAAAGAAAAGAGAAAGCTGTGAACCCCGAGAAAAGGATTTTACAAAAAATGTAGACCTCCATGTACAGCCTATATGCTCATTTACAGATGGATTGATAGGTATGCCTGTAGGTAGCCTAAATGTATAGCTTGTAGTGAAATTAAATATCCGTGAACATTCTACTTTGCTAGATTGTCCTCTTCTGTGAACATGCGGTAGAAAATTTTAGAGGCTGGTGACAAATGTCAGCCAGCCTGCAGACATTTGGTTAGGCCAAGTTGAAATTTCTATGTTTTGGGAAGCATTCCTTTTAAAGTCCATGGACAGCTTTATCTGGAGTTCGTTTTAAATCTTGTTTAAGTATGCGTATGATCATTGAACACATTGCAGGTTTGCTGCCTTGCCTTGCTGCACAGATGTATATTGACTTTTTTTTATTTATACAGTAACTTGCTTTGTTTTAATTTGAACCAGATGTTCAGTTAGGACATTAGAATCATTCAATCTAACAAGCTGACTGGTAATTTATACAAACGTCTTTATTGGTTAGGACAATTTTGGCTTCCATGTAATATAGTTATACACAGACTTGTACATTCGAAGCTGGACCGGAGTTTGTGTGCATTTGTCTCACGGTGACAACGGCTCTGTGCATTTGGTGTGCTTCAATAAATGATCCTGGTGCTTTTCCTCTTTTGTATAGAAACTGGCATGTTTGTATCATGTCTACATCGTCTGGAGGGGAATTCAGACAAGCTTTCAGTTTGAGTAAAAATCCCCTGCCTATGTAGTAGCATCATTGTGTCCCCACATCCTGCAGCACCCTCTTTCCTTTGTAGTCTGACCATTCATGCATGAAGGTGCTCACGTGTCTGTGTGGTTGATACCAGAAGGCGGTAGAACAAATCTGGGAGCTGCAGGAAGGGGAACTACACTTAGCAATCCCTTGAAGGGGATTTCCATTATAACATTAATCAAGTCTTGCGCCTAGTAAGCGGATCTCGGAGGGTTTGCACACACAGTATAAACTCTGGGCATTCAGTGCACACCATAATCTTTCCTTCAAATCTACCTCCTGGCTTCCCATTTATCATTGAAGATTTTTAGGAGGCTAGTAGAAGAAAAAAAACAGTATTCCCTGTGCCCCCCCACAGCCCCCCTTCTGTTTGACATTTTTGTGCTCAGCATACTTATAAGCCCTGGTGCCATTTGAAAGGCTGGACTTTGCATACAGTAAGTTTCTCACTTTTTTGGATGTCCATTATTAGAATGTAGAAAACCTTCAAATTAGAAATTATGTTGAATGTGTTACTGCACAAACTAGTTAGTGTTATATCTTTTCAGATTCATTTCTTATTGTTCATGTGGAACAAAAGGTCAGTTGCTATTCTGATACAATTGGGTTATACTGCTGCCTGCAGGAGGATTTGGACACTTTGCCAGCTAGGTATAACCCCTGCCTCTTTCCGCATGCTTCAGTTTTTTGCTCATGCCTTAGGAGGATGCACATTTTTTTTTCTCTCTTTTGAGAAGAGTTTATCCATTTTTATTTCTATTTTTCCTGGAATGTGCCCTTGTGGCCAGTGGCACTTCCCATACCTTCTGGTACTGTGTTAGTTAGCTGCTTTCCAGGTCTAGAGCCATGGCACAGTCTCTGGTGTGACTTAGGGTGCACAGTACTCTTTCAGTTGCCATCCCTCAATCAGCTGGTCGAAGGAACTGGCCATAAAATCTTCATATGATCAGAGCCAGCAGCCAATGAGCCGCTGACTCTGTTCGGGTATTCTGACAGCGGCCAGTGGCCACTGTCAGAATACAATGCAAACAGCAGGCCACCTTGATCGACACACTCCTAAGTGTTGATGGAGGGATCTGCTCTATTTTTCTCGTTTAGCCCGCAGGTTGAACAAGGAAAATAGAGCCGCGTATGGCCAGTCTTAAGGTGCCCATACACCTTACGACCATCGCAAGACTTTTGTCTTGCGATGGTCGTATGCTTATTGAAAGCTCGTACGATCTGCCCACATTGGACGGGCAGATCGTGCTTGCGATCATCGAGAGCCTGCCCCGCTGAGGGGTGGGCTTCCGATGACCGCAATGCAGAACGGGCAGTGTGCTATTGTTACAAGTGTCCATTCCTTTTCAACTTGATGAAACCGTTTCCTTTTGGTGATATATCTCAGTGTCGGCTGCCTGTGCTCCTTATGTGTTTAATAATGCCCACACCAGACATACACAGAAGTTTTCCCTCTCAATGAAAGAAGCCAAGGTCCGTTCTCCTCTCCTCCCCTGTGAGCACACAGAACAGACATTCTCTTCTTCCATTGTGAGGGAAAACTTCTGTGTACTTTGGGTGAATGAATTAATAAAACAAATAAGGAGCACTGACATCTCACACATCGTGCTATATAACCAAAATGAAACGGTTTCATCAAGTTGAAAAGGAGGGGACACGGAAGGATGGAGGAGCTGGAGCAGCGGAGGTACAAGGGGGCAGCGGGGGAATTCAGAGTCCCAGCCATAGTCTCTTCTCCCTACTTATGCTGGCTACAGAGGTCTGTGAAAAGGACACAGACCGCTGCAGCCAGCACCAGCAGGGAGACGAGACTGTCAACACAGAACACTTACTGCCCGCCACGCTGTCACACTTCCGTCCGGAGAGGTCAGAGCGGAGAGGGAGCCTGCGTTTGCTGGGGAGGGGCTATGCGGGTCAATGGCCGAAGCTAGTTGAAAAAAATGTAAAGAGCCGGTATCGGCTCTATGCATCGGGGCATTTTCAGGAGTACAACAACTCCTGAAAATGCCCTGCATCGGCCCTGATACCAACACTAGTATCGGTATCGGGACATCCCTAATCAAGGTACACAGGTCGCAACACCTCTGTGTTTGTGATCTAACCACAAGACAAAAGTGTGAACCACCACGCCACTGTGCTGCCCTTCCACTTCTTGGAATTCATCAAGGGACAGTGATCCCAACACCTTTTGTGTTTGTGATCTACACCTAAGTAATGCTTTTCCACAAAACTGAAGCATGCTGCCAGTGAAAGGGGTTATACTTGGTTGCACAAAGGCTTTTTAGTTTGCCAGTGTCCCAATCCTACTGTAGACGGCAGTATAACCCAAACATAACAGAATGACTACTGATACTGATCCTATTTATCCCATAACTCCAAGAAACGTATTTTACGGTAAGTACAAAAATCCTGTTTTTGTAGTTATTTGTTGTACTGCGGATGTGCGGTTTAATCAAATGGGGAAGTTGAACTCTGTGGCTTCCTGAGTGGCATATGCACAGTGGAAGTGTCCTAAAGCTTCTTTAGGGCCTGAGACATGTCAGGGCTGTTATATCTGTACAAAACATATTTTCAGATGCTACAACCTGGCATTCAGAAATTGTGTATCAGAGCAAGACACTTAACTGTACCAAGTATTGTCTATGTTGGATCTGGATCTGCATAAAGTCATGTGGGGTTTCATTACCAGTCTGTTTCGTTTTAGCCAGCAAACCAGTTAAAATGAACGCAGCTGACAAGCAAAATGCTGAAATGTGCAGTTATTGTCAAACTTGTGTTGATAACGTCCACTGTAACATTTCTTCTTGGTTTTTGAATATATGCCATGACGGGGGCAGTTGCACTAAATTATGTTACCATGGGAACTACACCGTAATTTCTGGTGCCTGCTGGGAAGTTTTCGTATTAAGCCTGTTCTATGGTAGGAAATAACCTGGCCACATGCTAATGACGTTTCCACCCAGTGGTGAAAATGTTGTTGGAGAGGTAATTATGTTAAGGTGGTGTTATTAAAAATCACACTATGTCAGGGGTGCCCATTAGGTAGATCGTGACCTACCAGTAGCTCTCAAAGCTGATGCTGGTAGATCACGAAGGGTGTGATTGGCGGCCCCTTTATTCCATTTTGGTATATTAATTTAGCTGTGCACACATTACCTATTAGCCTGAGTCTGCTGAGCCAAGCTCCCTGACACCTTTCTGGTGGAAACTGGTGGTTGAAGTGCTATGTATTACATCAAAGAATATTAGTTTACACAGCCTGTTGCACTGCACTGTTTGCTAAAAACAGCAAAGTGAGCCAGGAAAGAGAGAGGAGAGACAGCCAGGGGAGAGAGCAAAAAGAGACAGCCAGGAGAGAAAATGAGGAATGACAGCCAGGAGAGAGAGAAAGGAGAGATGGCCAGGAGAGCGAGGAGAGACAGCCAGGAGAGCGAGAGCAAGGGAGTTTTTTTTTTCCGTTGGTAGATCTCATGTAGCTCGTCATTTGAAAAGTAGATCTTAACACAAATAATTGTGGGCACCCCTGCACTATGTCATTCTATAGGCACTTAATGGCATTACCAAATCTCATTCCATTCCATTGGGAAAATCCCTCCTCTTGAAATAAAAACACTGCATCGAGTGCCTAGGCAGTAAAAAAGTTGACCGGCTACTAAGTGCTATGTGGATATTTGACATTGTTAGAAAACTGTAATAGAGACAGGTCCTCTTATAGATGCCTGCAGAAAATTGTGAAACTCCACAGTTACCTAGGTTATTGGCTCATGCTGCAGTATTTTCAAAGTAAATACAAAGCCATATGTTAGCCCAGCAAGCAAAATCGTGCCATATATTGTAAAATACTATTCAAAATTTGATTGTGTAAATAGAACTCTATTCTGGAAATGGGAACAGTAAAAATATTTATTTCAAGGCGACACGATAAACATCTGAAACTCGACGACTGAGGATTTGTTTTGCGTGTCCGCTCCAAGTAGCTCGGTATCTGGAACCAATGCGTTGGATGATGTAATAGCTGGCAGGAGATCAAGGGACCTGCCATGGATATCCGAGTATCTAAATGTGTCATTGTTCTCTTCATAGGTCCTTATTCCTTAAACGGCTATCGAGTGAGGGTCTACAGACAAGACTCTGCCACCCAGTGGTTCACTGGTATAATAACTCACCATGACCTTTTCACCCGCACTATGATTGTTATGAATGACCAGGTGAGTTGATGGATTTATTTGTCTCCTAGGCTTCATGTGTGAATGATACATTTTGGAATTGTCATTGGTTTTAGCAAGGTCGGGAACCTGGATTGCTCAAGCTGTTGGGGTTCCACATGTCCATGATTGTGGACATTTGTAGACTGTTGGATGGACTCAGGAATGTAAAGGGACCCTTGTGGTTTTTTTAAGGTGAAGCACAGATGTATCATTCATCATTTAATGAATTGCTGACCCAGAAACACATTTTTAACTTGTTAAATGTCTCAACACATGACCTGCATGCTAGTTCTGATTCAGTGACTTGGTAAGTAGTGTTGAAGGGATATGGATTACAGTCCTGCAGGATGAGCCTTCAAAACAGGTGAGAAATGGCAGATCACATAGTTGTCTTGACAAACTTCTTTTAAAACTGTACACCTACCAGAACACCTATCTATAAAATCTCAGAGCACAAACTGGAGACATTGTCCATATTAACCCATAGGACCACAACTATTATAAGGAATACAACTGAAGGGAACAAAACCGATGTCATCTGTAGAGACCAGTCAGCCGCCCCCGGGAGATATAGGAAGACCATCTACTTTTCCTTCTTTCATACATGAGAAATGTTGTGCATTGTTTTTGTAAGCTGGTAATCAGTGATTACTATTTTAATCCCATCATGCTTAATGCTGAATGTGTAATGGGGTAATGGATCTGTATAACGCATCAGGAGTTATGCCAGGAGAATCAGATTACTGCATTCAGAGCTTTGTCCTTGGGTTGGTTGAAGAGGTTGTTTTTAGAAAGATGAATGTGATTCATTATATAAAAGCATTGTTCTGTCTGTGGCTTCTGATACTTGATTATAATTGTGTTTATATCTCCATAAATAAGGATCTACCCTGAGAGTAAAGTTATTTAGAATTAAAATATATGATGAATGCTTCACACCAGGGTACCAGGGACATGGCTTTCTTTGTCCATCACTACAGCGTTCGGAGTTGTCTTTGTCTCTTAGTGACCAAACTAGTTTTTAGCTCCGTGGCCTTTACCATCTCAGCATTTGCTACACTTTGAAATTACCTCATGCACATTTCACTAAGTTCTATCCCTTTATAGACCCTACAAGTACAGAAAGATATCCGTTGGTCTTGTAGATATGCACTAAGCTCTTACCCCCAGTTTTCGGCAGACAGCACATAGTTTTTTGTGGACTTAGTGTAGTCGGCTCTGCCTTTTGCTAAACAACTCAACCACTCCCACTATCCTATCTGAACAACATAAAGGCTTATCCTTTTGTAGTCCATGATAAAACTAGGAGTGCTCTGTGAGATAACACAAAGTGTGCAGAGGACACAGGGCAGCGCAGGGTGTTTTTTTTTTTTTTGGTACTTCTCAAACAGATATAACAAATTGCTTCCAATGGTATATTTAACAGACCAAAAAGGGAGCAAATAAGAACATTCATTGTTGGTTTACTGTTTACATACACTTTAATGTATTCCTAAACAATGACTTCATCTGTACACTTATTGAGCACTTTCTGTTTTAGGAACAGTAAGGGCTAAAACACACCTTTTGTGATCCAGTGCATTGTAGTAATGTTTGCGTTGGTGCATTGCGGTGCCTTTTGTTTTGGATGGTTCCCGATCGAACTAAGGCTTTCCTTCATGAAAAATGCTCCATGTTCGTTTTATTGGTCTGTTCTGCTCAAAATAAATGGGCCGCCTTAACGCAACACGCGTTAACATATGGCACAACGTGAATTAACGCAATGCACAGGAACTGAGACGTTTGAATGGGCCCCTAGAGTTTAAGGAAATGTGTGGGCATAAAGGTGGGATGTTCTTGTGGGGTGGTTTCATTTACACAGAGCAATAGAAATAAAAGATTCCACCTAGAACATATTTCTAATGCTTTTGGATGACTGACCAGACTTTATCAAAATAGTGTATTTTGTAGAATAAGCCATAGTGATTCTGGCTGGTTTGGACCAATGCTGTAGATGTTGGCCCCTGCAACCCTCTTCTGTCACATGAAATAAGAATTCTTCTTGCCGTGGGCTTTTCCACTTGATTTCTTTGTTCCAAATTTCTTTAATTAGCCCCTTTATGTTTTTTTGACATGATTCCCTTTTTGTAACTAAGTATTATGATCAAAATAATAAGCAATGTTTTGTTTGTGTTTTACATCAGGTTCTAGAGCCACAGAATGTTGATCCTTCTATGGTTCAGATGACCTTTCTAGATGATGTTGTATACTCGTTGTTAAAAGGTGAAAATATTGGTATCCAGTCCCGTCGCAGGTCGCGCTCCAATCAGAATAGCAACACAATTCATGTAAGTATTTTTAATGCTTTATTGTGAGTTTTTAAACTGCCTTTGATTCGGATTTCTTTTGCTGCATTGCGTTAGCTGCAGTTAACAAATACTGTTTGGTTTCTTATGCTTTAACTACTTGAGCCAATTATCGATTAACTGTGTTTCTTTCCAATCTTCTCTAACCATTCGAATGCCATTCGTAGGGTCATTACACACGTGCACAAGCGAATAGTCCCAGGCCCGTGATGAACCCTCAGAGCTCCACAAAACAGAATCAGCACCGTAACGCCCGTTTAAACAAGAGGAAAGGTTCTGACAGCAGCATGCCAGATGAAGATAGGATTAAAGAGGAAAGATATGATGGTACTGGTAGAGCAGGTATGCAAACTGTCATCCGTATTACCATTAAGCATGAAATGAGGTTGTCGGAATGCCAGTTTATTTAGTGTATAAATGATTCTAACATTCTTACACTACATTATATTTGTATATTGTTACATATGTGTTCTTAAAATGTTTTGTTCTTTCACTGTCTTTAATGCATTCACTTAGGTTGTGTAGGCCTGAACCTTGGGTGACACTGGGTTGCCTTCCTGTCAATGCACTTCTATCACTACCCATCCTTTAAAATATGACAACTGACAGGGGCGTAACTAGAAATCACAGGGCCCCATAGCAAAATTTTGTATCCCTGGTGCAGACCTTACTAATCCTTCATTAGGCCGGGGAGCAGAGCTTAGGCTGAAAGGATCTAGTGATTGCCAGCACTGACAGGAGACTCTATGCGGTCTGCATCTGACAGAGATGCACAACGTGTAGCTGCAGGCCGCAGCAATTTCGGCCCACGGGCCAGTAGTTTGAGACCCCTGCAGGACCTTCCTTCCTGCTGCTGACTTGGCTTCTGCCCTGGGCCGCACAGCGGCTGCGTGGGCCGCACATCGGCAGTAGTTCTGCCACTGACGGCTGATAAGCTCATCTCTACTGCTACAATCTGGGGTGTATTTCATGCCAGTAACTAAGTAGGCCATTCTACTTCCTTCTATCCTTACCATGCTGTTGTAGTGATACACTTTATGTATTGCTGTCATTTGAGGGTTGGCTGGCAGTACTGAAGCCCTGGTTCAGTTCTGTGGAACATTTTAACGGTGGCGTGGCACTATAGTCTTGGTATAGGTGGAAAATAGACCCAGCCCTGGTTAGTTAAGGTTATTTTATTATTTGTTTACTCCTGATCATCTTTCCAGATCCAGACAGAAGAAATGAAGAAAGATGATCTGGAACCAACAGGTTTTTTACAGACTCGTATAATTTAAATAGGAGGTGCACAAATGCATATATAATTCAAGCAGCGGCTCCCACAGGTACAGCTGCACTGGGCACTTCATTTTCGGTGTTCAGAAAAGTCACTATTTGTATACTGGGTGATTTTAATAAATTATATGGTTCCCAGGAAACACTGGAGCCACATTCTATGTGGTTACCTGTATGTACCAACACTTGGTACCCGCTGTAACACAATAGGGTTAGTTTAAAAAGCAAAATGTAATGACAGGTTTGCTTTAAGACTACTGGCATCCTGGCTTAGGGATTTATCTAGGACAGCCTTTCTAATTTGGTTATCTTGATTATTTTTTTCTGTCTGTAGAAAAACGGTCATGTCCATCTAAAGGAAACTTGAGAAAACATGCAAGCTGCCACTGCTGTCATCTGTTCCAAATATGCTAGTTGCCTGGCTGTCCTGTTCCAATCTGCCACTGCTTGAACAGAAGCAAATATACAAATAGAGTTCTGACTTTTTTTGCTGTTTGCTTGTTTCAGCAATTGAAAAACTATTTAAGACAGAGAGAACCAGGAATCTAGCACTTTGATATGCAGATCGGTAACTGAAGCCTACATTTTACACTCAGTCCAGGTTTCCATTAAAATGTGTTCATATTTAGTTATTCTCACGCTGCTCTTTTGTGATCACAGCCAAAGTATGGTTTGCTTTGACTGCTTCATGAATAGTCACACAGTCAGAATCGTTTGATCGTACCAACGTTTTTCTGGATGTGCCAGCAGTACAGATGACATTCAGAATTATATAGAATAATGCAATATTTTTTTTTCTCCCACTCTGAGAGGTATGGTTCACTTAGACAAGTCAAGGTGATTTTACAGTATAGTGTACTACATAGTGAACCACTATGGCATTGTGTCTTTCTAAATTTAGCATGCATGTACACTCATTTTATATATTTATTTAGAACAGGTATTTATATACCGCTGTCCGTTTTCTCCTCTACATTCACATCAGTTCCTGCCCTCAAGGAGATTACAATCTAAGGTCCCGATCTCAAACGCACGCATACTAGGGACAAATTCTCTGATGTCTATAGCTGGCTTTTCCCACATTGCTTTCATTGACCTGGCCCGACATTTCCCAACCGTATTTGTTGTGCCCCCCAATAATATCAGACTTTTGCTAAGTAACTCCCTCTGTACACATTGAATTATCTAACAAAGCTGTAATTAACTGATATTAGTTTACATCTCTCTATGAATCCATGGATATTTTTCAATGGTAAAAATAATCAGCCTCATGTGGCTTGCATGGTCTTTGTATATTGGTTAAGATGACAGGTTCTCTTTAAGCAGATGAAAACACAGCTGGTGGGGCTGAGCAGTCTTTCTCACTGTGCTGTGTATGTAACATGGGAACACCATTATTAGCAGAAGTCATCACTGGTCAGGTTTGACATTACCCAGATGGTATCTGTGGGACATGTGAGGAGGTCAGAAGTGATCCTTGTAGGAAAATAAACAGGTTTTCAGCACTGAGCTGCACACTCCCTGCTTCCATACCAGGCTTGCTTTCTGCAAGGTTTGTGGCCCTGAACATGAACTGCTATGTAAAGGAAAGTGGAAATAAAAAGCCTGGCATGAGGTATAGTTTGGATATAATAGCATCCTTCTGGAAAGGCAGGCCAATGTAAACATCTGGCCGGGATCATTTATAACACGCATATTTTCCATATGTAGTCATATATCACTTTCCTTTAACCGTTCTGTCTTATGAATCACACGAGTCACTCTGAAAAACAGAGCCAAGCGGGTCTGACTTGAATATATTGATGAGGCCTACGGAGCTTAGTGCCTTTCTAGTCAAAGCCAAACATAGATTTGAGATTGAATTACCCACCCCTAATCCGGAGTGTCTCCTGCACAAGGCTTTCATGCACATGGCGGCAGTTTTGTGAAAATAAAAACACTGAATTATTCAGAGGTCAGCATGAAACTGCGCAAATTGTATGTAGCCGTGTAACACAAAGGTTGTTCTGGAAGGGCCATAAACATAGTACATACTGGAATGATCTACCAACATTTACCAGACCTGGCCATCGTTAGATCATACTGTTGTAAAAGAACATGACGGTTTGTGACTGAAGCTACCCAGGGGATACATTGATTAGCCGGGTAGACTGAGGCTGCCTAGCGGATACATTGATTAGCCGGGTAGACTGAGGCTGCCCAGGGGATACATTGATTAGCCGGGTAGGCTGAGGCTGCCTAGCGGATACATTGATTAGCCGTGTAGACTGAGGCTGCCTAGCGGATACATTGATTAGCCAGGTAGACTGAGGCTGCCCAGGGGATACATTGATTAGCCGGGTAGACTGAGGCTGCCTAGCGGATACATTGATTAGCCGGGTAGGCTGAGGCTGCCCAGGGGATACATTGATTAGCCGGGTAGGCTGAGGCTGCCCAGGGGATACATTGATTAGCTGTGTAGACTGAGGCTGCCCAGGGGATACATTGATTAGCCGGGTAGTCTCAGGCTGCCCAGGGGATTCATTGATTAGCCGGGTAGGCTGAGGCTGCCCAGGGTATACACTGATTAGCCGGGTAGGCTGAGGCTGCCCAGGGGATACATTGATTAGCTGGGTAGGCTGAGGCTGCCCAGGGGATACATTGATTAGCCGGGTAGGCTGAGGCTGCCCAGGGGATACATTGATTAGCCGGGTAGGCTGAGGCTGCCCAGGGGATACATTGATTAGCCGGGTAGGCTGAGGCTGCCCAGGGGATACATTGATTAGCCGGGTAGGCTGAGGCTGCCCAGGGGATACATTGATTAGCCGGGTAGGCTGAGGCTGCCCAGGGGATACATTGATTAGCCGGGTAGGCTGAGGCTGCCCAGGGGATACATTGATTAGCCGGGTAGGCTGAGGCTGCCCAGGGGATACATTGATTAGCCGGGTAGGCTGAGGCTGCCCAGGGGATACATTGATTAGCCGGGTAGGCTGAGGCTGCCCAGGGGATACATTGATTAGCCGGGTAGGCTGAGGCTGCCCAGGGGATACATTGATTAGCCGGGTAGGCTGAGGCTGCCCAGGGGATACATTGATTAGCCGGGTAGGCTGAGGCTGCCCAGGGGATACATTGATTAGCCGGGTAGGCTGAGGCTGCCCAGGGGATACATTGATTAGCCGGGTAGGCTGAGGCTGCCCAGGGGATACATTTATTAGCCGGGTAGGCTGAGGCGGCCCAGGGTATACATTGATTAGCCGGGTAGGCTGAGGCTGCCTAGGGGATACATTGATTAGCCGGGTAGGCTGAGGCTGCCCAGGGGATACATTGATTAGCCGGGTAGGCTGAGGCTGCCCAGGGGATACATTGATTAGCTGTGTAGACTGAGGCTGCCCAGGGGATACATTGATTAGCCGGGTAGTCTCAGGCTGCCCAGGGGATTCATTGATTAGCCGGGTAGGCTGAGGCTGCCCAGGGTATACATTGATTAGCCGGGTAGGCTGAGGCTGCCCATGGGATTCATTGATTAGCCGGGTAGGCTTAGGCTGCCATGGGGATTCGCTGATTAGCTGGGTAGGCTGAGGCTGCCCATGGTATACACTGATTTACCGGGTAGGCTGAGGCTGCCCAGAGGATACATTGATTAGCTGGGTAGGCTGAGGCTGCCCAGGGGATACATTGATTAGCCGGGTAGGCTTTTTCACAATAGCTGTTGTACCCTCAAAGACAATTTGGCTCCCACTTCCTACTCCATAGACACAAACATACAGTTGCTGAGTTTGTATGAAGTTTGCACAATGATCATGAAGTGGACAGACTATACAGACTGGCTGCCATCTAGTGTCTGTAGGTTCCTTGCTTTATTTATACTCCCCTTCATAGTGCTCGACCACTGCTATTTTCTCTTTTGCATCCAAGTATAGGGACCATGTGACTTCATTCTGTGATGCAGGGCATGGCACTGACTGGCCAATTGCCAGGCCCAAACACCATCACGTGAAAGAGTGATTGACTTCATAAACCCTTTGTAAACTCCAACATGGAGCATACACGTGATATTTTGTAGTGGCTGCAATGGAGGAAACAGCGGTGGATGAAGGCAGCAAATGTATGAATACAGCAACAACAACAATTTGGCTACGAATACAGCAAGTGTGTCAAGGTGTGGCAGCCAAACTTCGGCCCCCCCAGCTTTGGTGAAACTACAAATCCCATGATGCATCTCTCTCCGGGAGTCATGTCTGTGGCTGTGAGAATCTTGCAATGCCTCATGGGATTTGTAGTTCCACCACAGCTGGAGTGACGGAGTTTGGCTACCCCTGGTTTATGTGTAGGCAAACTCTAACCTCCCAGCTGTGGTGCGACTACAAATCCCATGAGGCATTGCAAGACACTGACAGCCACAGGCATGGCTCCCAGATGCATAATGGGATTTCTAGTTTCACCACAGCTGGAGGGCCGAAGTTTTCCTATCCCTGGTTTATGGCATTATGGAAGTGCTTATTAGTAAATATTTGTCAATGTGATTTGACCTTTTTATATGCTTGCCCTTTAATATTTTCATTACAATCACTCTGCCTCCTTTTCAGCCAGAAAGTAGAGGTATAGTACAACCATTGTGTAGCACTACAAAGCAGGGCGCAGAGCCTGGGAATGTAATGGGCAAATATGGCTGTACCCATGTACAAATATCGTACGCTATATCCTGATAAGTTTATTAATGCTGATTCCCATCCTATGTATATCTTTAAAGACATTGATAAGACTTTTATCAATTCCCCTTACAGCACTTAGCAGGAATTAGTCAACTTTTAATTCCTTTCTGTATCATTAACTTTAGTATCTGCAGTTTTGAAATCATTACTTTTTAAACTGAGATTGTTCTAAAGCTGGACACTGAAATGTTAAAGTGTACCTGCAACCTTGGATGGTCCAACATGGCTGATTGAAATGTCTGTGGCATCCTGTGAAAGAAGCGACATGCGTGAATCCATAGATACAATCATTTGTATTATTACCTGAGGTTGAAAAAGTGCTTTAACTTGTGATTTTTGCTTCTTTGTTTTAAGCAGCAGCTGCATTATAGTATTGCTTTATGGAGATGAGCTGCATGGTTTCTGTGTTGGTGATTTTGATCAGGTCAGACACATGTTGAAAACAATCCTGGTGAATATACTTTTCTAGTTATTATATCCGTGATAGGACCCCTTAGAGAGACATTCTGTCAATGCACAGACATTGTAGTGTTGTGATTGCCTGCATGCTTACATCTTTATTTTTCTTCCTAGAATACTGCAAGTCCCTGGTTACACCAGCCAACTCCTGTGACTTCAGCAGATGGTCTACTGATGGGTCACCTTCCTGTACGTCCCTCCAGTGCCGACTCTCACCGGCCGCTCAAACTGTCTGCACATTCAAGCCCTCCCTTATCTAAGCCATCAGCAGATCACCACAAAGAGTAAGCCTAATATCTTTTTTTTTTCTCTCTACATGTGGCACAAACAGCTGAACTACAGGCAAATGGCTAAACACCAGTTGGAATACATACTGTATATCTGAACAGTTTGAAATGTCAAAGAATCTGCCGTTCTGTTCAGTCATTTGTGTACTTTGCACCCTCCCCGCCAGAGAGCACAGCCAGGCTCTGGAGGCTACCCTACCCCAACTTGTGACAAAGGTGCTGCAGCACACTTATGAGGTCATCTGTTTGCACTCCGAAACTGTTAATATATTCATGGACAGAACTATACAAAGCAATAGAGGTCTGATTGGAAGCTGATGCAGCCTAATGCTGCCGTGCAGAGTATTACATTACGAGTCCAATATCGAGACAGATTTTGTTACTTATACTAGTTCTAGATATAGCAGCCGTGTTAAATTTTGCTATTGCTTTCTTTTAGGTGATTCTGCAGCAGGGACCCTCAGCAATAAGCAAAATTTACCTGACATTTCAAGACTTTCAATTTAAACACTTAAAAGCGGGAGGTGCTTCTGCATACTACCACTATCTTTATACCCCCAGCTAATTGGATTTCTAATGGGCACGCATGCTGTGTGTTAAATTCTAACTTTCTGTCTAGCTTTAGAGATTTATGAGGTACTCCAGATGATAGGTGGATGTGTCTGTTGGTATCTGCTTCTTTGTGTAATGAGAGTACCATGTTGTTATATTAGTATGTATTTTTAATTCTGGCATTTTTTCTCAACAGAGATTTAGAGAAGAAAACCTACAGTGAACCCTTGCGCTCCGTTACGTCGGCACCAGTGAAGAATGAGCACGAGCACAACCGGACACATTCGGGTAAAGAGAGCCATACCCACAGACTGTATATGGAACCTGTTCTGAGCCACACCAAGGTGCAAAGGTCAGCATTGGAGGCCGCAGAGCGTTCGAGCAAATACAAAGAGGAACACCGGAGAATCTTACAGGAAAACATTGAGGCTACTTCCTATGCAGTGAAGATGAAAGCACATGAAAATGAACGGGAAAGCTATACTAGAGTAACCCCTATTGTGTCTTGCAGCCCTAAAAGCCACTTGGTAAAGCAGGAAAACAATGTAGAACGCCCTATCTCAGATTTGTACAAGATGAAAACGTCAGTCTCGCAGAGTCTGCCGCAAAGTAACTATTTCACCACTTTGTCCAACAGTGTAGTGAATGAGCCACCAAGGTCATTTGCACCCAAGGAATCTGTAAACGTATTCTCCGAAAAGCAAAATGCCAGTCCTTCAGTTAATTCTGCTATTAATTCTTATTTGTCTAAACCACCACCTTTAATTAAGCACCAACCCGAGGATGGGCCTGGGAATAAACTAAATGAGCCGCTTCCTCAACAGATGGCAACTCACACAATTACGTCTTACAGAGGAGACAATAGAAGTCCCACCCAATTGTCCATCACATCTTCAAACACACTCCGGAGCATGCCTGCCTTACACAGAGCACCTGTATTCCATCCTCCAATCCACCACAGCTTGGACAGGAAAGAAGGAAGTTACAGTAACCTTTCTCCACCAACTTTGACTCCAGTGCAGCCAGTAACCACTGGGGGAAAGATCCAGGAGCTTCAGAAACCACCTACCCTCATTCCTGAGCCTAAAGAAGGTGCTACAACTTACAAGAAGAATGCGGATAAGGTCATCCAGGAAGTATGGAAAAGCAGCGAGAAACAAAACCACAGCAAAATTGACTGGCTGCCAGAGAAAAATAATGTGAAGGTACCGTCTGCAACCGCATCTGTCATTGTACGCCCAGCATCTAGTGCAAAGTATGATCACACACCAGTAACTCAGGCTGTCTCCAAGGAGAGAGCTGGCGAAAGCTCCTCAGCTGGAATCAATCAACCTGATTGCCTAAAAACCATGGAAGCCAGAGAGACTGTAAGGATTGGCCAGCCAATTATGAACTCAGACAGCACTCATGTGCTCTTTGAGAAGAACTCTCACGCTCCTTCACACAGCATTCCCAGTTTGTCTGCACCTGGAACTAATATAATGTGCAGTACGAAAACTGACGTGACCACCTCTGCCCCCACAACCACAAGTGTTTCGAGTTGCAGCGGATCAGAAGTCACTTATTCTTTATCCAATGCTGTCTCAGCTTGTACAATGATAGAAAGCACCAGTTCATTACCGGCAAGCCAAACCACGGCACAGACTCAAGAGAGCATTGTCAGCGCCTTAGCTTTAGCCACTCCAGCAAGTAGCAAGCCTGCAGTTCTGCCCAATGCATTGTATCCCGCGTCAAGTGATTTCATCCATTTAAAAAAGCACAAAGCTGCCCTGGCTGCAGCTCAGTTAAAAAGCACTAATGCAATTGATATAGAAACTAGTGCTGTGAGGGCTCAAACTTTGCCTCCTGCAGGCTCTCCAGATAGCAGCACAGCCTGCAGCTCCACAAACGCAGCAGGTTCTGTAGGCAATGGGCAGGCATCCCAATGTAGCCAGCCAAATTATCACACAAAACTCAAAAAGGCCTGGCTTACTAGACATTCAGAAGAGGATAAAAACACCAACAATAAGCTGGAAAATGCTGGCAGCTCAATGGTGTCTGAAATCATTAAGCCCTGTACTGTAAATTTGATTGCTTCGACCTCTAGCGAGCTGCAGAATAACCTGGACCTTCGGGCCCAGGACGATAAGTCTCCCAAGGAGGATAGGCTTACAAGGAGGAGGGTGAAAAGGACTTATGAATCTGGCTCGGAAACCGAGGACTCAGATGAAAGTGAGAGCAAGTCTGGACAAAGGCTGAAACGTCAGCCCAAGCCAACATACAAAAAGAAGCAAAACGATATGCAAAGGCGAAAAGGTGACACAGACAAAGAGGACGAAATAAAACCCAATGGTATTCTTAGCCGAAGTGCCAAGGAAAAAAGCAAACTAAAGTTACAGAGCAACAGTACCAGCTGTAAGTATTTTCTCTAACCTTGAAATGAGGCTTTCATATGTTTTTGTTTATAGATGGTCTCTGTTTCCTTTGTTGGTTGTTCCTGGAAGTCATCCATATTGTAGAACAATGGCATTGATCTAATTTTAAAAAGAGAGTTAAAGCTGAACTCCAGGCAAACAGCAAAATATGCAGCTAGACCACCCAGGGAGCTCTTTTTTACCTGTCAAAAAGTTTCTATTGGTGTCTGTCCAGTTCTGAGATGGACAGCTCTGGCAGTGCAGGAGACCTAATCCTTCCCACCCCAAACCTCTGACTTGACAGTGATAGGAGAAGCAGCAGTCTGGTGAGATTATCTCTGTTGTTTTGCTCTCTCCTCCTATCAACATACTACTTGCGCTTCAGCACAAGTAATTGGCTTATTGCTTCTTCTCCCTCTCCCGGTTCAAGCGCTGCTGTACAGGGAGTGCAACCAAGTCTAATTCAGGTACTTGCACTGCTTGCATTTAAAAAACAAATACATGCAAGGATGTATCAATGGATACAGAGCTGCATAATGTGTGTATTTAATATCTATCTGGATTTCAGTTTCAAATTTGTAAATGTAGGGAAGTTCAGTCTTGTAAAGTGGCATCATAGAGTTCACTGCTAGCACCTAGAGGTGCCTCCATGTACTTTTATGTATCTTCAGGGTCCCGGGTTCCCTAAAACCAAAGAAAAGCAGTTGTGAAAAAGATATTGCACGCCGTCTCCTCCACCTTACTATTGGTATAACATTGAGAACCTAACATTGAGGGGCAGGAGGGGCAGCGCCAAAGTGTTTACTTAGCAACTTGTGCCAGAATTTTTGTGTAACCGCACGCATGTGTCTGGGACAAAGTACCTCTTTGTGCAGTGCCCCTTTGTAAATATGTGGATTTGAAAACATTTTTTTTTTTTTCCCATGCGTGAAGAAGTTTCCAGTGTGTGGATATAAATAATAGGGGACCTTGGGGGAAGAAGTTATCAGTGTTGACTAAAGCAACCACTCGATTTGCAGATGTCATAATTTATAAGGGAAGTTGGTTGCTACGGGCAATGTGGGCTTTGTTCTCATTCTCTGTTCAAATTTGTGGATAATTGATCCTAGCATGGGCCTGATGTATAAAATGTAGCAACGATACATTTTTTTGTTGTCTATAATAACGTCCGCTTTCTTCTTTTACTTTTTAACTTGGTATGTAAAAATGTTACCTTTAGCACACCTTTCCCTTAACAAGGCTCTATGTTATCTCCACCTACCTTGATTTTTTTGTTTTTTTCTTGACATGAAGCTTATGTTTTTTGTTTTTGTTTTTTTTGTTTTTTTTAATGTACTTTTTAAATAAATCTTGGTTTCATTAGCAGACATACAGGGGCACTGATAACACAGGATTCAAAATTCACTACAGGTTTTTAAAGTCAGAACAGTAGAAGCAGTTTACTTTCAGGCTCTCTCTTTATTGAAGCTTTGGAGGCAGCTACCTGAACAAAGCAGGCAGAACTGAACTTGGTAAATAATGAATGCTGTGTACAAGGGGAAAAAAATGCCCTCACTATCTTGTCTCACAATATTGTGCTCGGTTACAAAGCAGAGTCCAATATTCAGAAAGCATTGATGGAGTCTCTTCCGCAGACCTTTAAGTTTTGGGAATGGCAGTATGCAATGCAAGGTGGATTTTCCAGTCATTTTTGGCATCGGCTCACACTAGGTGTATTTTCAGATTCTTACCTCATGCAGTGATTCTACAGGGAATTCTTGATAGTCTGTGAACTGGGGACTTCTGTAAATAGCATATTACAGGCAGGAACGGCTACATTTTCTTCAATCCCCAGGCAAGTGTCCCAGTTGTTTAGAATAAGTGCAAGCTATGTATCAAGTCTCTGCTTGCTTGTTTTAGCTGAGATCCTTTACATGGCATTCTAGGTATTAAATCATTCATTCATGCCTGTGGTTGGTTTTACAGTATGTCGGCGTGTTCTCCTGTCATATGGTGTTACTGAGGGCGGGTAGCACTGTGTCTGCACAGCTGTCAGTCTCCAACTAACACAATCTGACTTGTATTTAACGAATGCTCATAACTTCTACCCTGCCTTGTTTACATTGAAACTCAGCAGCCCTTATATTCGTGGGACATCCAATAGGGGCTTTGTGACATGCTTCAGCTTCAAAGAACACCCACCGTGTCATACATGCAGCATATTCACCCCCCTCTTCTCATAACCGCACTTGAACTGAGTGTTAAATTACTAACATCTTTTCATATTCAGGGATTTGCAATTAAATCTTAAGCAAAGACAACCTAAAATTCAGACTCCTGAAATTAGTCAGTGGACTGTTTGTCTTACTGCAGGCTGTTTTCTGTGTCTGTGAACTTGAGTGCTGCTGGAAATATAGCCGAGCCACAGCTATTTCTGTACCGTGGGCAGTCGCATTACAGAGCTCTGCAATTAAGTTGTTGACGTGAAAATAGTCTAATAAATGGATGCATGCAGAAATAAATGGCTTGTCAGGAGCGGAGTGAGCAGCGGCTAAATTATATCGGTAATCTGGCCACTTTCATGTGGCTAATTTTTTCATTAGTCACCCACTGTAAGTCTAATGGGTATAAATGTGATGGAGGCAAACATGTGTTGAGGTGTGTTGCTGTAGCTGATGTTGTCCTTCAGGGTCTGTCAGTGGTTATTCAATGATTTTTTAGGTTAAAACAAAAAGAATAAGTCCATGTTGTTCCCTTGTATGGCCTACACACAGCCACATTATTGGTTTTCTTCCAGCGGTCATTGGGAGCCACAGCAGACGTCTGACCATATGCTTTACTTCTAGGAGTTTGAACACTCAGCAGATCAAAAGGCATGGCTCTTCCTACTGGCTGTACCCTCACATATTAAATAAGCCCAAGAGTTGGTGCATCTTGGTCCTTTTGTAAGGGATCTGACTCCTGATGCAAGACTGCTTCTTGGTCCTCAGTTCCTGTGCTTACCAAGGCCACTTCCTTGGTCCTCAGTGCCTATGCTTATCCAAGGCCACTTCCTTGGCCTCGGTTCCTATGCTTACCAAGGCCACTTCCTTGGCCTCAGTTCCTATGCTAACCAAGGCCACTTCCTTGTCCTCAGTTCCTATGCTAACCAAGGCCACTTCCTTGTCCTCAGTTCCTATGCTAACCAAGGCCAGTTCCTTGTCCTCAGTTCCTATGCTTACCAAGGCCACTTCCTGATCCTCAGTTCCTTAGCTTATCAAGGCCAATTCCTGGTCCTTAATTCATATGCTTACCAAGGTCACTTCCTGGTCCTCAGTTTCTACTCTTACCAAGGCCACTTACTGTTCCTGAATTCCTTGGTTACTAGGGCCAGTTCTTGGTACTCCGTTCCTATGCTTACGAAGGCCACTTCTTTGTCCTCAGCTCCTATGCTTACCAAGTTCTATTTTGTGAATGTTATGGCATTATGCTAGTTTTGGCCAAAAACAAGCTGCTATGTGGATTATTTGTGGATTATTTACTTGAGGACGCTTGAAGGTTACCTACCCTACCTACTGCTGTCAAGGAGGGGTAAACATTGGCATACTTTTGTATCCACTGTAAAATATTCTATCCGATAGTATATGGAGGGACACGGATCCTGCCCATTATTTTTGTGTGTTGCTGCATTGGGCATTCTGTCTCGATTTAGATGATGTTTTGGGAAAGTTTTGTTTTACGGTCCCCTTCCCTCTGCTTGCTTCTCCTGGATATGTGTTGCGGGTATATCCACAAGGATTAACTCTGCAGTTTGATTTGCCTAGTGTCCAACCTCCTATAGGCAGAACATACACCCAGTAAGCTGCTTGGTCATCCAATAAACTACTGTAGAAAAGGGATTTAGATTAAGTATAAAAACTCATTTATTCCCTCTATGCAAGGCCTTGTTGGCTGTTTGCTACCACTCTCTCCCGGTATATTTGCCTATTATCCAGGTAGAAACATCCTCCCTCCTAGTTAGTGCGCCAAAACAATATTGAATGATGATTTCACGTCATGTGACAGGGTGGCCTGACATTTGTTAAATAAAGATTGTGATGCAGGTAGTCATTTGAGAGGAAGCTTTTTAGGGAATTCATCTCTCATTTAATACAGTAATGTGTTAATATTTGAAGAAGTTTGATTCTGTGTATAGTTTGTAATTGTATTTGTACAAGGGGAGCTCTATGTGCCTATTACATATTCATGCAGTGCTACACAGTCTGTCAATCTGCTCCAATAACGGACTCCCTGTGTGGCCAGTTGATCTCATCTCAGCTGTACAGCTGGGATGCTGGTTGTACTGTCTGATATATAGTTAGCCCAAGAGAGCCACACACAAAATAGAGGATGATAAGCAGTCAGGTAAAAATGTGAAAGCAACTTAAATATCGATGTACATGTACTTTTTCCAGTTTGGGAGCAGTACTTGAGCCTCCATATACCTTGTGTTGTCCAACTATGTGAATGCTAGTATTGTGCCTCTGCTCCAGAATAAGTTTCCATTATATGTGAATCAATAGACGTCACTGGTGAAAGAGATGGCCACAGGAAGAGTTGGGGTTCAGTTACCAGCTTACCTATGTCAGGTTTTACACTTCATCACTCATCTTCCTCACTCACCTATAATTCAACCATAACCTCTGGAAAATGGCTCCTACCACCTGTGAGTTTAGAATGGGGCATGTTTCATGCTTGACAGTTTGAAATCTGAGTAGCCCTTGTGATCAGAAGTATATATTGGTAAAACAACTCCTTGTAGTCATTACAACCTATTAGATTCCCCTTTAGCATGAATAAAGGAAGGAAATAATGTATGTACTATGTGTTAAATCCCTACATAAGTACTGCATATATAATATAGTATAGCAAGAGCTGGAAATCTGTGGGTGACAGAGCAGCTGGCCCATGACAGAGCATCATATACCATGAACTTTCATTATAGCCACTGAAATTGCTGATTTCCTCTGAATAATTAGGTTGCTTATAATATGCTTGCCGTGTCTTATCTGTGGAAATGGTAAATGTTGCCTTCCTGCTAACCTCTTCCTCATTAGCAGCTGATACAGCACATGAAGATGGCACCATTGTCTTTATTTCATGCTGATGTTTGTTGCGTTGTACTTTCAGCTGGCATACCTCGTTCAGTATTAAAAGACTGGAGGAAAGTGAAGAAACTCAAGCAGACCGGGGAATCCTTCCTGCAGGATGACTCTTGTTGCGAGATTGGGCCAAATATACAGAAATGCCGGGAATGCCGGCTGATCCGCACCAAGAAGGGGGATGAGTCCACTCACTCTCCGGTTTTCTGCAGATTTTATTACTTCCGAAGGTAATACTGGGACAGCTAGTTTGTGCTCATAATTTTTTTGATGACAGAACAATCTCCAATCGATGTGGATTCCATATTTAAAATACATTTAGAGGGGTGCTGTGACTTCCAAAACCGATCATATAGAATTAGGTGGCATGTGATGATGGCAGTGGGGTGTATAAAGATGTACTTGCCTTTGAAGCCCTTTAAAGAGAACTGGCCTCTTAAAGTGTATGTAAACCCCGACATAGAAATTCTTATGTTTGCTCCTTTTGGTCTGTTAAATATACCATTGAAAGCTTTTTGTTATATCTGTTCGATAAGTGAAAAAAATACTGTTGATCGTCTCAGAATTTCAGAGCTTTCCTGTGTCTTGTGCTTACTTCCTGTGCTATCTCAAGGAGAGTAATGAACCCTCCTAGTCCATATCTTGGCCTGCAGAATAATCGGTGTTCATGTTGTAGGGATTAACATGTAGGAGGGTTTTGGTTAGTAAAAGACAACTGTGCGGGGCTGATAACCACTTAGCCCGCTACACTGCTGTGTGTTGCCAGCCCACAACAGAACTTAGGAGCAGAATGCAGGTAATTGCACTTTTTGGCTCAGTTAATATTCTTACACATTACAGCAAAATAATTACTTGTGTAGATAACAAACATCACCTATATTGGGCTATTATGATTATACAGGGTCCTGAAATGTCTGCTAAGTCACGTCTACAACCTTCAAATACTGCTTGAAGCCATGGGTTCCATCTTGAAAAGCTTGTTAGGTTCACAAAGACATGACATTGCGTAATGCATACATTTTTCTCCTAGCAACATGTAAAGATTCTGGCCACAGCACAAATGTCAGGACCCTGTAAAAGAGCGGGCGAGCAGCTTGAGCTTGGTTTGTTGGTGGATTAGAACTATTCTGAGATTTGTCTCTTGTTAATCATGTGCAAGTTATTAAGCATTAAACACGTAGCTTTTATTGTTTCTGATAGTTGCTGGTCTGTGGGCTCTCACAGTCTAGTAATCGAGTGTAATTAATAACGTTCAAACACCTCATGTCACAAGATAAGAGGAGATTGCCGAAATAAAGCCAACTGTAATGTAAAGTGCAGCTGGCAATAACACAAGACCTGATGCATAATTCATCTTATATCTCCCTATGCTACTAGGGCTACCAAAGTATAATTTACAACATCATTCTGTATATTAAAAAAAAGAACATGCTGGTTTGCCCTTTAGGCATGTGCCTGTAGACATGCTTGCATGTATAAGGTAAACCGAGTTAACATTTGTATTTTGCATGTCTGCCTCATGGACATCTAAATGGTTTTACTATGTGGCTGTATTAAAAAGATTCAAAGATCAATTTTTTTTAAATATAAATCATGTTCAGATGTTATTAAAGCCTTACAGTGATCCAGTAAGTACATCCAAATGCCAAGGATACAGTGTTCTTTACAGATATTACAGCAGAGCAGATCTTGTTCCCTCACTATGGGCGGATTGAATTCACTTAACAGCTCAGGCCAGCACATCTCTTGTTACTGGAGTGAAAATGGGTTTTATCTGCCTAGAAATGGTGTGTTTACCTTTAAAGAAAAATCTCTCCATGTTTATTTCCAAACTGTTATAGCGCTAATACAGTTCACTGTTTTTGTGGCTCAGACTAATATTAACAGACATAAAATAGGGCATGGATGGATTGGCCATGTGCAGTACACACAGGAACCTCGTGCTGAAAAATGTCATAAAGGGAACCTGTTAGGAGAGAAGTATAGGAGCTGTATGAGACAGGAACCTTAGATTGCAAGGGCATGGACTGATGTGAATGTAAAGTAAAACTTGCCTTACTGGACACTGAAAATGCCAAGAACACACAATGCCCAGATCTAAAATCTTTGAGTCAGAAGAAACCATTTTACATATACAGGTCACTTTTCAAAGTGAAGATCCTAAGAATTCTGTAGTCACTAACACCATTTATGTTCTTGTGTATTACAGGTTATCGTTCAGTAAAAATGGGATTGTCAGATTAGATGGATTCTCATCTCCTGACCAGTATGATGATGAATCACTAAGCTTATGGACACATGAGGGCTATGAAGATGATGACTTTGATCTGGATTCCATAAAATACATCTTGGGTTACATCGGAGATAAGTTCTGTCAGATGGTGACGTCTGAAAAAGCTGCTATGTCCTGGGTAAAAAAAGATGGTACGTCATGGCTGGCATGCATTTCGGCTAAGCTTGACCCGTAATTACAGCCCATGCTTTATTTCTCTATAAATAGTGTGTGTGGGAACTGTCTACACTAGGCAAATCCAATTAATTAAATGAGCAGAGATGATGAATGGGACTGGGTGCTCAACAGCAGAGGATAATAATATGATGGCAAAAGAATGTCTCAAAAAAAACAATGTAGTTAGTGATTGAAAAGGTTCTAAACAAGAACACTGGAGCTGCATGTATAAAAGTGCCTGAAAGTACAAGGTCTGTGTTTCCATAACAATCCCGGTCAGGTCACTATCTGCAAGAAGTTTGCATGTTCACCCTGTGCTTGCGTGCGTTTCCTCTGGGTATTCCAGTTTCAGGGTTTAAAGGAAATGTTTACTCTTTGCAGATCTTTTCTTGTCTTTAGAGAAACGCGTAAATATATATATTGCACGATTCAAATAATGTGTAAATCATTTTATCGACATGTGTTAAAGGACGCCTGTACTTTTAGTACAGTTGTCCTTTTATGTAAACACCTTAAAATACTTACCTTTCTCCATGTTCCCTCAACCTTAACTGTGCAATCCTGCCTTGTGCTGCACAGCCTTCGCAAAGGAAACGTTCTAACCAGGTCCTCTTCCTTTTACACATGTGTGCATAGGCCTTATTCTTTTCTATGAACAGCCTGTATTCTTTGATTGCCTCAAGCTGTCCAGCAAAGTATGGCTCATCCACAGGTGTGTATGGGGCCATGGGGCACAAAAGCAAGAGGAACAGTTTGTTTTCATTGGAAAGGCTGCGGAGCACCAAGCAAGACTGCACAGTGCAGATTGCGGGATCACGAGGAAAGATAAGTATTTTACCAGGTGGACTGCATTTAGGGGGGAAGTTACTTGAAGGATACATTTACTGCATGTACAATTGTCATTTAAAAACCTTTTTTCTGTGTATCAATTGTTATGTACACAAAGGGACAGCCATATTGGTTACATATGCAGATTCTGTAGTGCTACCCAAAAATTGTGTCTTCCTGCCTATTCTCCCAACGCTGGTCTATGAGCCATGTCTAAGACTGTAATGGAGCCATTACACATGCACATAAAGATCCCTGTAGTGAGTTCCTATCCCCGACATTGCATCATCATGTCTGACACATGAAGCATTGGAGGGTAATCTGCTCAGCTGCTGACTTGCGGACGAGTGACCAATGCTCAATAAATAAATTATATATAATTTGTGTGTATATATATATGTGTGTGTATGTGTATATATATGTGTGTAT